GTGGCTCTTCTCTGGACTCTCTCAAGCTTCTCCACATCATTTTTGAATTGTGGAGCCCAAAACTGGACGCAGTACTCCAGCTGCGGCCTCACTAAGGCCGAGTACAAGGGGAGAATGATGTCCCGGGATTTGCTTGAGAAGCATCTATGGATGCAAGCCAGCGTTTTGGTCACTTAATTAGCAACAATTAACATCTACAAAATCGCAGACTAAGGAGAGGAAAGAATCAATACAGACTATCAACTGCCCCAAGACAGAGACAGTCAGTTGCACAAGCACCCATGTCATGAGTTTTGTCTGTCAGTAGCTAGAGGTACAGGGCCTCAGAACCCAGAATCCCTGCACCGATCTCCTCGACAGCTGGCAGGCTTCATGGCTGCAGAAGGGGCTACCATCCCTGCAGCTTTCACCCTGATGTGCTTTAACGCACACAGTGTCACCCATGTCATTAGTTTTGTTTGCCTGCAGCTTGAGGTTTAGTTCCCTGCAAACCTCTGCACCGATCTGGAAACTTGGCAGGCTTTGTGGCCTCACCAGGGGCCACCACCCCTGTCATTTTCTCCCCCCTTGTAGTGTAATACATACACGTGACATGAGTTTTGCTTTCACGAATTTGGGGTACAGTTTCCCCCAAGCCCCTGCATCAATCTTCTTGAAACTTGGCAGGCCTTGTGGCCTCAGCAGGGGCCACCATCCCTGCAAATGTCATCCAAATCAGACAAAAAACAACAAAGTTATAGATATTCCATGATTCCCCATTATACCCTATGGCCAGATCTCTGAGGCGGCTCTGAATCTTCAGAGCCGCTTCGGCCGGATCAAGGCAGGAACCCAGTCCGGAGGTCTGGATCGGATCCCTGGCATCCAAAGAGGCTGGATCTGAAGCCGGATCGAATAGCTGCTTACTCACACAGGCCTACTTCCAAGTACAGCCATAGAAAAATCAGAGAAGTCATATTCTTTCACAATTCCGTTATAAAGCGTAAACATTTGCTTGTTTCATCTTGTCTTTGTCATTTATCTATCAGATCTTTCAAACATGTTGCCAATGTTTTGGTATATAGCATTGGTGTTTCTTGTTCTAAATGACTATGAAGCTTTTAGACATCAGGGAAATTGAAAGTACAAGATCTACTAAGAAAAACAAAAAAACAAACAAACCAATGTTCAATCCCTGTTTTACTGAGCCTCCTATATCTCACTCAACTGTTACTGTTTTTCTTTTTTTTTTTCTGTTTTACAACTGTTTCATTTGAAAAATGAGAATTCTAGTCTTCCAAATATGGAGCTCTGTGTTAGGCAAATGGAAAACTTCTCACTTGTCTAATAGCAGTACCTTGGCAAGACTACCTGTTGGTATTAGTACAGATTCCTAATGGTGGTAATTCCCTAGGCACCACTGGGCTAATGGGATTCCCATGTTCTCAGTGCTAATGCCTTTGGGGCATCTTAGTTACTAATGCCAAAATAGTGAAAGGTACTGTTTTATAACCATCCCAGTTATACATTCTTTCAACAATTTACCTAGAATAAGGTTTACAAGACCTCATGTGAAAGGAAATGACATCAATGTTAGGTCAATTCCCCACTACTGTGTGGCTAGGTAGTTGACAAGATGTTCTTGGTTTTAGGAAAAAAGAACATTGTCATTAGAAGTAGTGGGAGAAAGCCTAGCAAAATAACCATGAAGGTAAGTTTAATGTGCGTAGCAAACACCAGTGGTCACTGACATTTACTGGATCATATTCTGTTCCCTTCCCTCCCTGCAGAGACCCCTGGAAAAGCCAGATGGGCTGGATGTTTCCGATCAGAGCAAAGAGCATCCTCAGCATCTGTGTGAGAAGTGCAAAGTTTTGGGCTACTACTGCCGTCGTGTGCAATAAACCTGCAAAGGGGGCCTCTTCCCATCCCTGTCATCCTGTGAGATCTTCTGGCAGCACACAATGAGCAGCAACACAAAAAATAAGCAAAAGCTAAAAAATTGCCAATAATGCCTATAAACTAATAATATGCCTTACCATTAATAGAATGTAACACTTCTCCTGTGTATGTGTATACATCAAAGACATATTTATAGGACTATGGTGTGTTTTTATATAAATATTATATATTATATATATATAAAAAAATCAAACAGTGTTACTGACAGTGTTACAATGGAACCACTGCTGTGGTTTTCTGTTGATTGTTTACACAGTTCCTCTATCATGTCCAGGTGAAATGAAGTAAAGTGCTATTTGTTAGGCACGGCATAATGTTCATAGGGGAGTACACATTTTGAATGGTTTGTGCAGGAATTAAGTAAAAGCAAGGCCACTAATTGAAAGCATGTATCAATACCCCAAACATTATTCTTATTATACAACAAGATAAAGGAGGATTCAACAAGCCATAGCATTAAAGAAGGGAAACTATCATGTTTTCTTGCTTCAGAAGGTTTGAGAGTTCTGTGCTGCTGCTTTCTTGGACTTCCCATTAGTTAACACAACTTGAGCAGGACTTAAATTAAATCATTTTTGGAGGGTGTGACAAATAAAGTGAGTAACTGTTTGAGGGAGTGGCTTCCGTGGCAGAAATGGAACATTATAATTGGACATGGAGCATCAATAAGAATTCCAGCATAGAGAGAGGGATAAGGTTGGCTTGCTTCAGGCTCTGACAGACTGAAATCCTTCTCTTGTCATATAATTTCTTTTAAATAGACCCCTTATGCATATTTGCTATTCATTAGATCAAAAGCATACTAAATTTACTGTGAATAATGGGGGATAAGAATGACTTCATCCCTAACCCGCAATTAAGAGAGACTAGCCAGACTTACTATTTATACTAGCTCTAAAGCCACTTTTTGGAAATATTGTCCTGTTTTCTACTGTAGAAATTTGTTGTTAATATCAAAGTTTGTATGGATGTAGCCACAAAGGGATCTTTCTTGTTTTCTGTCTTCCTAAAATATCTACAACAGCTTTGGGAGAATAAACTGTTGAATTTGGTTGTCCCATTTCAGCTAAAAGGAACTTTGTGCTAAACCATCCCATTACAAACTAAAAATATATCATCAGGGATTGGAGTATGTCACAAAATGAACAGTATCCTGCTTATATATATATATATATATATAGTTAAGAGCAGATCTGCAAAAGAACACAACATGTAAGGCTTGAATATGTCATTCACTTTTGTAGAAAAGCTACAGGGCAATTCTTTTTATTCAACTGTTTTTATGATATTTTCTTCAAAAGGATGGACTTGTATGTTTGGTGGAGATGTTTTAAATTTTAAACACTTGCACCAAGTTGAATGGGGGCAAAGTTAAGCTGAACAGATCTACATAAGAGTGATCTCATACCAAGTTACATAGGGATGTGCTCAGTGTGTAGAGTTGGACTCTTATAAGTAGAGGTCTACCTAAATCACAGGGGTACTTACCAATTTTCACAGGTTGACTGCAGCATAAAGTCTTAATTTATCAGTCATGGGGCAGCCACCCCTCAGCACTGATTGGTGGAGAGGTCCTGGTGGTGGGGAGGAGACACAAGGGGGGCAGCCACCACCTTATCTGCTGCCCTTCATGCTGTCCCACCAATCAGCACCTTCCCTTCCTAACAACGAGGGCCGCTGGCTCCCCCACTGGGGAGTCAGCACTTTATTTTTATTAAGTTTTTTTGTTGTTATTGATTTTCAAGGACAATCCCAGGTTTTGCAGTTTCTGCGAAATCTGTGAAACCACAAATTAAGTAGGTCCCTACTTATAAAGCAAACTGAAGACTTGTAGTGAGCATTCCTCTATGAAATGTGAATGTCTTGACAAATTTGATACAGGATGAAATGTTTGCCATTTCTATGCTCTGTTGTGAACAAAGCAAAATATTTCCAAGGCAAAAATGATAATGCTGATGGTGGCAAACTTCATATGCATATTATGCAGACTTTACCATCTATGGGTAGCCTGGTAATTCCAGTTGTGTAGCCTGCTGGTTTAGGGAAAAGGGCTGGCTGGGAGTTAGGATGTGTTGATTTTGTCTGGTTCCACCAGCTTGACATTGCACAAGTCACTGAAACTCTCTGTGCCTCAGTTTCTCTAACTGCAAAATGAGGATAATAATACTTAGCATACCTACCTCACAGGGGGTGTTGTGAGGCTTGATAAATACTTATAAAGCGTTTTGACATCAGTGGATGAAAAGCGCTTTTGAATTTAAAAACATACTATTAAGTTAAACACTTTATAATTCTTTTGACCAGGAATCAGTTCCTTAAATTAAAATAAACTAAAAAACTGTGACTGAAATTGGAGACTAATCATGGATAACAATTGCCACTGTGTAGTCGGCTAGTTAACATTTTCAAGCAGAAATGCATTCTTAACTGAAGATAGAAAATACATTTAAGAACCAATGGTGCCAACAAAGCTACTAAATTTGCCCATGCAAGAAAAAAAAAAATGTGTGCAAACCAGTTTAAAGGTGAATTTTGAAAACTTGACCCTCAGTATTCCCCCTTAAATGTTACTTGTCTAGCTTCAGTATAATATTGCTATATATTTAGCTTATGAACTTGTAGGGTATGGTTTAAACGAAGACTCCCAACCACCTAATGTGGCTTTAATGCAACTAACATGCGTATGTACAGAATAGTAGAAGTAAAATACTTTTATCATCATGTTTTCCTAGACATTATAAATGTAAACACATCCATTTGTTACTACTCAATGAGCATATTTGGACTAATCATGGAGAGAATTAATCTTCCTATCCACTTAATGCTGGAGAAGAGGGACCTAAAAGCAGGTAGAGAAAGAGCCAAGGGCATGATAAAGCAGGAAGCATCACTCCTGTGGTCTGCTCTCCATTCCCAGTATTCATCAACCCACTCCCAGCAAAAGTTAAAACCATCTGACGGGGGCTCCACAAAGATATGGGTTGGGAACAGTGGGCAGAAGAGGAGAGCAGCCGCATCTTACAGTACATGTGCCTCTCTGAGCCTTGAAGCAGTATTAATTCTGTTTGTATTTTTTATATCCATGTCAGGAATGGAAAGCAAGGGATAAGGTCAAAACCATGGGATGCGGAGGGAGGATGAGTAGGATGAAGCACTAGGGAAGTGAAAGAAGTCTGTTCACAGTCCTTACTTACATACTTTCACAAGTATTGCTTCAGTGTCTTTAGTGGTATCCAGGCTGCACTCCCTCCCTCTTCATGGCTGAAACGTGCTTGTTTCCAAGGAAATGATGTAAAGGAAAGTCCACAGATCCAGAATGTAGATTTCCATATTGTACTTCCCCTAGACCACTCCTGTAGTGGGTTTGTGACTGGGGAAAGTTTTTTGATACCATAGGTATTTATTTACCCTGTATCTTTAAAGTTTATGAATTTATATGTCATCATTGGAAACACATGTTAGTGTTAATGACCCACAATAATGTATACTTATTAATGTTTAAAAAAGGCATTCGATAGAATTGTTCACAATGTTTTAAATTTCAGTTTACAAATACACAAACACACATTTTCTGTTATATATTTTCAGAAGAGATTAATTTTTCCATTTTTTTTTTGTTTAGAATATAATCTTTTTGCCCCAGGTACGGAGCTGGCTGAAATTTCTGAGCAGCAATAAACCAGAATGAGGATTTTTCCTCCAATTTTCATGAAAACATTCTAATAGTATTTTGACCAGCTCCAGTATCATCAAATGTATCATCAAATGATATTCCATGGATGGATTTTAGCCTTCTTAGTCAACATCAAAAGCAATTTTTAGTCCAAATAATTTTAATTATTATACATTAAAATATATACCCATTGAGAGATGCATACATAAGAGGAGCTTGGCTGTACAGATGTATTTTGGACGCTTAAATTTTAAACATTGTCAGTCTGTTACCATCTACCTGTGAACCAAGCTGTTCACCACATAATGCTTCTTGTTCCTTCTGGAGATTGCTAACAATGTTTTGTTTTTTTCATATGTAAATCATTATTTTTTATTTCCTTCAGTCAATCAGAACCTTTCATATATATCCTGCCATCTGCATTGCTACTCCTCAGGAAAAGAAGATTAATCAGTGGTTTGAAATACATGTACAGGGCAGCTACTAAGCCATTTTACTTTGGTGTAGCTCCACTAAAGCTGTGGGACTATTTCAGTTCTCACCACTGAGGGTTAAGCTTCATACTTAAAATCATGGCCCCTTTTTATCCAGTTTTCTCTGCTGCTACCATGAACAGAAAATACAGTATGATGCCACATGAGCAAAATTTTGAGGCCTTTTTGTCTCAAAACTGCTTTTTAATTTCAGATAAATACACATGGGATATATATTATTTTTTAAAATAAGTGTATTTTAAAGTTCCCCATTATATGGGATCTACTTTGTAAACTAAAATGTGAAGTTATATCTGAGAGAGGCCTTATGTAGAGAAATAATCTCTATATTTTACCCTTTTGCACAACATGGAATGACTTTTCAAGGTATAGCCATTATTCTAAAAATAGAACTACTTAAAACAATAAAAGCAAGTTAATATCATTTGAAAGTGTTAGAATAAATAATTAGTTCTCTACATCCTGCAGTTAAATAGAATATATTTTTGTATTCTAAGCACTAACCAATGAATAGCCTGCAATAAGTCATTAGTATACAAACATTGTTAAAATTAGGTGAATTGATATAAGTCTTTCACATGTTTCTGTCAACATAATTAGAAATAAGACAAAATGTTCCCCCATACAAAGTCCTTCTTTAAGATGTCACTCCACTCCTAGTTGGATTTCTGCATATATCTGTTTTCTATCAGCAAAAAATCATTGCTGTCCATAAAAGTTGCTGGAATGCTGAAGTGCTCAGAGGGCTGATTGAGATCTTAGATGTAGGGATGATGGTTTGTGTTTTTAGGATAAATTTAAAAGGGACAATCGTGTGCAGTTACTAGATATAAATGACTGATATAAATGTTTACCCCGTATGACGTATTTTACAGTTTTACTTGCAGATGTGTATTTATCTTGAGTTATACTTGACATAGAGTTCCTTTCAGTTTTTTGTTTTTCTTTTTGTTTGTTTTTAATACTATGTGTGTATTTTGGAAACCTTTTTAGATGTTAAAATTTTTGAATGGTTACAAATATTTCTTGTCATACTGAATTGTTATCTTATCTGGAAACTCTGCAGTAACAATTTTTTTGTATATATTTGAGGGCCTTTTTTAAAAAAGAATGGTTTGTTTTTTGAAAAAAAGTTTTTACAACTTGGAAGCTTTCAAAAGGGCCTTGCTTTCAACTAGAATACTAACAGAGGTAAGAATTTTCTTAAGTATTTTGCAAAACTAAGGTTGTACCCTCAAGAAAATATTTATGGAAGTAATTTACATTTGTTTTTTACAATGCTTTTGTCTGTATAAAGTATGCAACAGAACTACATTAAAAAGGAAATATTGTCTACATAGAATATTATATGAAAGTTGGTACATAATTCTGACAAAAACCCTTGCAATCCTTTAAGCCATATTGTTTTTTTTTCTCCTTGGATGAAAATATCAGTATTAATTAACCAATATATTATTCAAGTGCTTAGACTTATATTAATATTCATTTGCAGTTTATTTATATGTGTATTTTGGGAAGTATTGCCTCTAGGAAAAGCTATACTTAGATGTTTTAGTAAGTAAGAATCAGATTAGAGTATACTATCATTTTAAGAACTTGTGAGACACGGTGAAAAGCTGAAAGCACAGTAAAGATTCAGCTTTCAGAAATTCTGGAACACAAATATTCAGTTTTGTATTGCATTTTTTTCATAATGGGAGGGGGATAGGGGGAGGTTTGATGGGGACATTGTTTGACAAACTGACTTTCACAACAGTTTGTAGACACAATAAACTGTGAGATCCACTACGCAATACTGGCTACAGCAATAACGTCAATCAAAAGACACAATGGAAGAGAACTGAGGTAGTTTGTTGTTTAGAATTGTGTTTATTTTAATTAGAATTCATAGCATGATAGAATAAGCATGTGCATGTACTTGAAGCATTTTTGTTACACCTTACATTTCATGTAGCTTGATTATATTATGAATTTAAAAAAATTTTACCATGCTAAAATGGAATGTCTACCCAATTCTATACTGAACTCTTTGTTTCCTTTAAAAAGTTATTTAGTAAACCAGTCACTACATTGTGTAATAGTGCTAAAACTAACACTTACCTGAATTTCCGCAGCTTTAAAATTAGCTTAATTATTACTACTTTTGTTTAGCTGCTCCAACTGACCTTGTCAGTTTCAGTTGCCAAGTTGTATAATTCCCTTTTCTGTAACTGTTAATAGACTTTTACAGCTAAAAAAAAATCCTATGGACAAAGGTCTCAGAGGTATCAGTTCTGTATAAGCAACCAAGATGACAACTTGTTCTACCAGTGACTGGGTTGCTGAAAAGACTGTAAAACCTCTGTTGTGGATTGTCCATTCAATGGCATTCCGACATGTGCCTTATTTGCTGGATAGTATACAGCTTTCCTCTAGTATTATAGCATTTTAATGCTGCATTAAAATACTACAAAAAAACCAACAAAGATGGAGTTGTGTGCTTTTATTTAAAGTTGTTTTGAACATTACCTGAGTTGGGTTCATGTATATAGCCTGGTAATAATACAGATACCAATCACAGTCTGGCATTTACAGTGTTAGATTGCTTCAGCATGGCTGCTACAAATTATGGAAAGAAGAGCTGCATCACAGTAGTCCAGTACTTAGCCTGTAGCCTGTGTGGTCACTTTCATATTGGCAGGGTTTCCCAAGATTGTGACAGACTGCTGCTGAGGACCAAATTGAAGTAGTGGAACAGATTACAATCAGTTATATCCTGAGTTTGGATTGATCCATTTCACAATGCCCCATAATTAAGACAACTTCCTGTATTAAAACATAGCACAAATGTTATTTCAACAAAAAATTAATATCAAACAACATTTCCCAGGATTCTGTATGAGTGGGTTGAAATCAAGATCCATTCTCAAGATACAATAACTCAAGTAGGCGCCACTTCTTTTATTTTGCAAAGGAAATATCCAGATAAGTGATTGGCTTTTCACACACAATATTTTGTAAGTGGTAAAAAATATAGAAGAGGATAACTATTTAAAGTGAAATTAGATCTTGTAGCCAAGTCACTGTCTTCAAGTCTCCATTTTTTAGAAAGTCTTAACTTGATTTAAAAAAAGCTCAGGGAGATGTTTTCAAAATGCCAGCAAGCACCCTTTAAAAATGTTTTTTCCCTGTACTTAATAGAGTTTGCAATACTTAGCTAATAAATAGAACAGACACATAGGAATGCACAAAACTAAATATGGATGCATGCATTTCTCTTTCTGGACAGTAAGTTTAGGGATAATTCATGCATGTACTACCCACACACAGGGTGTTTTAAATGATTTCTACATACAGTAAAGCAACAAAGTCTCCCTTTGTCTGTATCCTTCTTTGTAGAGTAAAGACAGATACAGAGAAGGTAGGGCAAGGAGAAGAGAGGAAATTGTCCCATTAGTTCCTAGAATGTTGATTATTCAGAACTGAAGAGATACATTACAGTAATGCACAGAATTTAGATCTTATTGGGTTGCTTCATATCAACCAGTAAATCAGTTTTTCTGAAAATTGGCATATAAAGATTATATAAATATCCCAGCTGAGTGATTCACAACACTGAAAATAATCCATCACTTGTTTGCTAGTGGCAGATGGATGAATAAATACCATTTAACAAAATATTTCATCAATTAGATCCCCACTTAACCATAGAGGGTTTTGCTTGTTTGCTTCAAACACATTTTAGACAAAGTATTTTCATGCTTGGTAAGACTTTCCTGAAAGGGAAGTAACCAAGAAAAAAATAATGGAAAACAAAATTGGTATAATGGAAAAACCAACCTCAACTAGTAACATTTAGTTCTTTCTCTACTCAGATGAAATTTAAGTCTCAGCAGATAGATTCATGGGTGTCGAAATGCCCTGGTTTATACTCTGCTCAAGACAAGATATCCACTCGTTTTCTGTAAGGGAACAAAATGTGCTCAAGTACCTCAGTGTTTCAACGCAAATTACATAACAAACCAAACTTGGATGGTGGGAAGACTTAGGAAAAGCAGCAACCCTGAGCATTCTTTGTAGACTTACTACTCTTTGGCCTATGCTGAGTAAAGATGCAATCACCTACAACTTTAAGAGAGAATATCTCCCCAGGTAAGCCACCTTAAAATTATACCAAAATATCCACCCAAATATTCACTGCCTAGGGTATGTGTCAAAGGTCCTGATGAGCTCTCACATACACACCATGATCCAGAAGGATCAACGGTTGCCTACTATACTCAAGCCTTTAAACAGTTTGGCTTGTGCTTTTCTTCAACTTCATGTTGTTTCTGTACTTTCTGATTCTACCTGAGTTCTGAAACAGGATCACCAAAATATCACAAGGAAATTTCTACTCATACTCTTTCTGGCCAGAAATCTAATAGGAACCATTTTTCACATGCTTCCAATTTGGGGTGGGATTTTTTTGCAAGCATAAAAGACTAAATCGATATGTAACATAAGCAGGTGCAACTCAATTGACTTCGGCAGACTTGGACATACTAAACCATATTTGAATTTGGCCTGAGGAGGTTGGAAAATACCTAACTAAGCATCTGAAGTTTAGAGTATTGCTCCAGCAGAAAAAAATAAAAATAAAAATAAACTTTTCAGAAAAAATAGCTAAGCTAGCTTACAATAAAGTTTTAAAAAGTAAAATATGTTGTCATCAGGTTAAGAAAAGTTGTTTATTTGTCTTTGCTACCTTGAGGGAAAAAAAACTCACCAAAAACATTGAAGTCTGGATTATTAAGTCTAACACAAGCCAGTTGGTTTAATAGTATTCATTCTCAAAGATAGATTTGACTTTCTTACCCACTTTCCTGTTCTTTTTTATTGCCTATTGCTAACCTATTGCATCTGATGCTTTCTAACACTGGTAAATATTAGAAGTTAAAAAGAACAATTTGCCCACAGGTGCATGTGTTTAAGTTTGATTAATTGGGAATCAGTTACCCAATTAAAACAACATCATTAACCTTCATCTATGGGCCAGCTGCAAAGGAATGTTCAGATACCTAAAGAATGAACTTTAGACACATAAGTTCATAATTAAAATCCAAAATAACCCTCCTCAAATGGCAAATCATTCAAGCACCTAAACTCAGTAGGTACCTCTTTTCTGATGTGTAAGTTCCATCTGAGCTTGCAGTTCTAGGCTGCAGGTGTGCTCAGAGCATATCTAATTCACCCTCATAGCAATGCATTTTGCAAAAAAATCAGTAACTGCATCCACTTGCCTTTTAAAATATAGCTAGAAGAGGACATGATGCTGCAGCCCTCCTCCTCAATATGTTTGTGGCCAGAGCACTGGCCCAGAAAGGCTAGGGTCAGACATTACACATAAACTGGTTTAAGTGATCAGAAACTGGTTTAAATCTGTAACAGAACAGATGTTCAGTGCACATAAACCAGTTTGAAAATGGCTGAAACTGGTTTGAGATAAACCTGGTTGAATGTAGTATCAGACTTTACTGATTTGCCAGGGACAATGTCTGTCCCAGATCTCTTTCTGGTTTAAGATAAACCAGACACCCCCAACATCCCGGCATGCTCTCTGGGCTGGGCATGGGAACAAAGGGATGCCCGGGGGGGCGGCGGTCTGGTTAGCTTAAACCACCAAGGGGTCTGGGACAGACATTGCATAAACCGGTTTGAGTCAAATCAGGTAAGTCTGATACTACATTCAACCAGGTTTATCTCAAACTGGTTTCAGCCATTTTCAAACCGGTTTATGTGTACTGAACATCTATTCTGTTACAGGTGTAAATTAGTTTCTGATCACTTAAATCGGTTTATGTGTAATGTCTGTCTCTAGCCTAAGCGCCAAAGCTCCAGGCCGGTCCAGCAGAATTATTTCTACTGCTTGTCCGATGATTATTTATTGTAAAGAATAGGGAATAGAGCCCAGGACCTCCCTTACCCAATTGAGTGATACAACTACTAAGTTACACAGTCAGACTCCTTCTTGTTTTTCTTCCTTCTGGCTTTTGGAATCTTGCATTTTTGGCTGCAGCGCTCTCTTCTCTCCTTCCCTTCCTCCACCAACACTCAGCCTAGTATATAGGACTGGAGCAGTCTCCTAGAAAATAGAAAATGTGTGTCTGAATTCCTG